AACGGTCAAGAAAAAAAATGCCATTATTTCGACATCTGATACTTCACAGCCTGTGACAGCCTGTTGGCTCACTCTTTCCTCAAGAAATAATGGAACGGGCATATATATCTGTTGCAAACATGGGTTGCCTTGTGCTCTTTTTTCACAAAAAACTTTAGAAAACCGTAGAGAAAGCGTAGCAAATTTCTCAAAAACTGCGTACTTTTGTGAAAACTCATATTTGGATATGAGGTAAAGGCCAGTGTGCAGCTCTCAAGAAAAGCAAAAACTCCATATAAAATGACGTACAAGAAATGGCTTAGAAATTTTCTTGAGTCAAATTTCCTTAAGGCAGTACGCAGTTCTTAAGAAATTTACTACGCTTTCTACTACGGTTTTCTAAAGTTTTTCGTGAAAAAAGAGCACAAGGCAACCCAGGTTTGCAACAGAAATATATGCCCGTTCCGTGATTTCTTGAGGAAAGAGTGAGGCAACAGGCTGTGAGGTATCAAAAATGTCAAAATTCCTTGGACACACCCGCGAAATAATGGCAATTTTTTCTTGACGGTTTTCTTGAGAGCTGCAAACAGGGCAATAATGGCCAATTTTTCGTGACCCATTTCTTGAGAGCTCCATACCAGCCTTAGGACTGCTAAAAAGATTAAGCTATTCACAATAATAAGTAGACTAAAAAATAAAAGTCCGCTACTAAAACTAAATCGGGTTTCGATACCAGTACTTTCTTCAATTACCTACTCACATATATGTAATACTTCTATATTGGCAGTAAGCTAACTTCTCAATGTGTAAGCATTCCGAAATCAAAGCGAGACAGTCTAGTACCGTTTTTGTCAATGTATTGTGTACTTGAATGCCGTTTTTGTATATGTGTTGTGTACATGTTCATTTATAAACGTATGTGTTCCTTTTCTTTCGTACGTGTTTATTGATATATCTGTACTGTTGTGTTTTCGGACGGTACTAGCTCTTACTGCCAATATAGGAGTATTACATATATGCCTACTCAGTACTCGGGTCAAAAGTATCGATACCAAAATTACTCGGTATCGGACGAAAAGTATCGAGTATGGACTTTTATTTACTCGTATCGTTTTGTCCCTACTCTAGCCCAGAGATGGTATCAGAACTTCAAAATGGCCTAATGGTCTTCAAAAATAGTATCGAATATGAGATGAAAGTTTCATAAAATGAAATTGCTTTCTTTCTTTTAAGGCCTTTGGAACAAGTGCATTATACGTAAATTTCTAAAAAAAAAAGAAAAGTAGTGGGCTCTATAGAGATTACAAAATTTTTTTTTGGTGGAAACAAAAAAATGTATGTTTTCTTCAAGGCCATAAAGTCAAAATATTGATTTTTTAAATTTAAATACCTCGTAAACCAATAATCATATTTCAAAGATTATGTCGTTAGAAAGGTAATAAAAATACGTATCTTTTGTAACACAATAATGCTATTCTTTATTGAAAGAATTTATGAAAAACGTTTTTATAAAAAAGAAAATTCTTCTTAACAAATGTATTTTTTTTTGCCAAAGAAGAGGGGCTGAACCCCTTTTGCAGAGAACACCTTTCTGCGTAGGCGGCCTTCGGCCGCACTTAGGGATTATAACCCTCACAAAGTAGAATTCTCCTTTCTGTGTTGCCAAAGAAGAGCGGCTGAACACAGTTTGCAGAAAACACCTTTCTGCGTAGGCGGCCTTCGGCCGCACTTAGGGATTATAACCCTCACGAAGTAGGATTTTCCTCATGATTCAATAATACAAGGTTGGATAAATATTGACATTGGTGTCAATCGACTGCCTTGTAAGGTTGCATTTGAGAAGGAAATAGAGAGCGGGTAACCATTGTATCCCCTTTTGTGAAAACGTAGTAGGAAAAGTAGTCTGGTAGTGCTGAAATGCGTTTTTTGTATAAAAATTGAATTAAATACTTAAAGCAGATTCTACTGACCTACACAATAGACAATGAATTAACTTTTTTATGGTATATTAAACATGCTATAAAGATATTAAAAATAAAATAAATGAAGAATGAGAGAATTTTATTCGCATAAAATTCTGACCAAAGAAAAATCTTATGGACAAATATTTCAGAATATTCAAAATAAACCATGGTTTCATTAAAATTCTAGTAGGGTGTCCCAGAAGTAACGTGCCAAACTTTAGGTTAAGGTAGGTGGGGGGGGTGGGCTCACTGATAAACAAAAAATGTTCAGGTAAAAGTGTCACCGTTTTTGAAATATTTACATGTTTTCGAATTTAAAAAAAATCGTGCCTTTTCATGTGTTTTCTTTAACTGCAACTACAAACCGGGCAATACTTAGTAAATTTTTTATGTAAAATACTTCCAGATAGTTGCCTCTCCATACTCAAATGCAATGTAGTTAAAATATATTAAGGGACCATCATAAAATTAGGACTATTTCTGGATTTTTAACTTTTTGATATTTTCTTCCCCAACTTTGACTATCTCGGATGAAAAAAATGTACTGAGTAATTTACATTACATAAAAAAATTGCTCATTTAATAAAGATTTCAGAAAGGTGCCACACTTACTGTTCTGAATAGAAAAAAGAAGTTATAGCCGCTTTTGTAGGTAAAGGACTGAGACACGCTAGAATGTGTTTAATAGATTTAAATTAAAGTTGCTCTTGTTACCGACCAATGACATGCTAAATAGTACAAAGGTACATTATTACCTGCTCCTGACATTATTTTGTGTTACTTACCGGAATTCGGACTAGAGTCTATAACAAGGGCTATATCTATCAATATTTTGTGTGAAGGATGGGTTCACGTGAAATAAGATATACTTGAGTTGTTTGAAGAAAAATTTATTCACTTATTGATAAAATATGCTCAAATTGGCGACCTTCTACTCTAATACAAGCTCCGCACCTTTTAAGAAAAGACGCTTTTAGAGATCTTAAACTCAATTATGCTATCTCAGCAGCAGCTCCATTTATTTGTTCCCGCAAATGCTCTTCGTTTTGAATTGTTTTTGAATAAATTTTGTCCTTAAGACAGCCCTAGTAGAAAAAAATCTAATGGATTCAGGTCTGGCGATCGAGCGGGCCACGTGATTCGACGAGGATAAGTTTCGTCTAAATGACCTCTTACTTCACGCCCGTAGTGAGCAGGGCACCCGTCATTTTGCAGCCATAGTCTTCGCCGCAGGTTTAAGGGTACATCTTCCAAAAGAGTTGGAAGCCGTTCCTGAAGGAACTCTAAATAACTGTGAGAGTTGAGCGTTGGCGGCAGTTCCACAGGTCCCAATATCTGACAATTAAAAATACCGCACCATAAATTTATTTTGTACCGGTACTGCGAACGATCTTCTCTCATTTCGTGAGGATTGTCTATCTGCCAACTGTGAAGGTTATGTAAATTAAAATAACCATCACGTTTGCATGATGATTCATCGCTCGAAATTATTTTATTAAAAAAGTTGGGGTCTGATGCATGCATTCGCAACATTTCACGGCAAAATCTAACCCTCGACAGGTAATCTCTTTCCTGTAGAGCCTGAACACGTTGAATGTGGTAGGGATGAAATCGATGGTCTTTTAAAGCTTTGTGAACTGTAGTTTTTGGTATTCCCGTCCGTCTTTCCATCACTCTCACTGAAGTCGATGGACCTAGTTCGACTTCCTCTAACACAGCTTCAACATCTACCGTTGCAGGACGTCCTGTTTCGCCGCCACGCCTTCCAGGTATGCGACCTTTAAAAAGTGAAAAATTATAGTTAACAAGCAAGCAAACAAGAAAGGTGTAAAAATCACTTACCTTTATATATTTCTCTATGGGTCCGGGCGAATACTTCACGACCCGGATGTCGACGATTGGGGTATCGCTCTGCATAGAGTCTTTGAGCAGCTCTGGCATTACAGCAAGCTTCACCGTAAATTAGGTGAATATCCGCATATTCATGCGACGTATACTGCGTGTTCTCTGTCATAGTATTAATAACACAATGATCGAAGGGTCCAATTTCACAATATCCACTTTCACTAATTCCGGTAAGTAACATAAAATAATGTCAGGAGCAGGTAATAATGTACCTTTGTACTATTTAGCATGCCATTGGTCGGTAACAAGAGCAAATTCAATTTAAATCTATTAAATACATTCTAGCGTGTCTCAGTCCTTTACCCACAAAAGCGGCTATAACTTTTCTTTCTATTCAGAACAGTAAGTGTGGCACCTTTCTGAAATCTTTATTAAATGAGCAATTTTTTTATGTAATGTAAATTTATAGCTCAGTACATTTTTTTCACCCGAGATAGTCAAAGATGGGGAAGAAAATCCCAAAATATTCCTAATTTTATGATGGTTCCTTAATATATTTTAACTACATTGCACTTGAGTATGGAGAAGCAACTATCTGGAGTTATTTTACATAAAAAATTTAATAAGAATAGCCTGGTTTGTAGATGAAGTTAAAGAAAATACATGAAAAGGCACGATTTTTTTTAATTCAAGAAAATTTTATTAGTCTAAAACGGTAACACTTTTACCTGAAATTTTTTTGTTTATCAGAGTGCTCACCCCCCCACCAACCTCCCCTTAAAGTTTGGCAGGTTACTTCTGAGACACCCTATATATTAAACAAAACTAATGGAATTCAAACAAATTCCTTATGCTAAGGGACTATATCGCACACCGTCTTCAAAACTTCACAATTTAAAATTTGGTATTTTTGAGATTTTGCGTTAAAAATGTACACAGAGCTTTTATTTACCTTTCAGCAAAAGCTGGAGCAAATTTTTGCTATAATTTGATAAAAAAAAAACCTAAGGCAAAGTCGCCCTAGCCCATATGATTATCATGTGCTAAAAAATAGTTTTTCGCATTTTCTGACAAACGTATTATTTTCAGTTGTGACTCTTTCGAAGACGGTGTGCGATATGAAGAAATATACAAATAGTAAAGATGCAATTGATATAATGTATATAAATTAATCTTTTAAAAATTATTATATTTTTTTGCATTTAAAAATTACATGTTCAATATCTTAAGTTGAATTTCATTTGGTGGACGGACACACAGATGATCCTGACCTGCACAAGAAAAAATATTTATTAACATTTGCACTTTCACTTTCATGGTACACTAACTTGTAAGTATGCAAATTCTCCACTTGACCAAACCAAAGGCTGCAGTGGTGAAAATACCCTCACCAGCGAACGTGGACGGACATACAAATGATCCTGACCAGCACAAGAAAAAATCTTTATTAATATTTACACTTTCATTTTTATGGGGTGGTATACTTACTTGTAAGTATGCAACGGCTGCACTTCACCAAATAAATCGATGCAGATGTAATTCCCAGTGGACTGCACCAGCCAAACGTTGACGGACACACAGAGAACCTCGCACGCAAAACTTACTAGCAACGGCTGCACTTGCTGTGAAACGCAGGTTATTGAATACAATTTTTGAATAACTCCGATACTCTACAAATAAATATTGTTTAATTCAAAATAGTTCCATTATTTTTGATTTTTTTGGCATACTTACTTGAATTTGCGCGATAAGAAACTCAATTTCCACGAAGCAATCGATGGAAATATCGGCAGTGTTGCCTATTGAACTTTTTGTACGAAGACAATATTTATCCTTGTATTTTAGTAGTAGTTTCTATAATTCAAAAAAAGAAAGCAACACAGGCTAAGGCAGAATGCGGAAGCGAGACAACTGCCAGGTTATCCAACCTTGTATTATTGAATCATGATTTTCCTTTCTGTGTTACCAAAGAAGAGGGGCTGAACACCTTTTGCAGAGAACACCTTTCTGCGTAGGCGGCCGTCGGCCGCACTTAGGGATTATAACCCTCGCAAAGTAGAATTCTCCTTTCTGTGTTGCCAAAGAAGAGCGGCTGAACACCGTTTGCAGAGAACACCTTTCTGCGTAGGAGGCCTTCGGCCGCACTTAGGGATTATAACCCTCACGAAGTAGAATTCTCTTTTCTGTGTTGCCAAAGAAGAGGGTCTGAACACCTTTTGCAGATAATATTTCGCACATGTATACATTACCAGGTAAATATACAATAGTAATACACTTTTAATCATTTAAAATAAGTAAAATGTAAATGTTCTAATGCAAATATATAGATTTAATGAAAGCTTATTTTCTCCTTTATGTGGCTAGCTAATTTTTTATGTTGGCAATAACGTGATTTAATAATAAAAATCATTTTGTTTTTAATTTTGTCATGTTTTTTTTTATAAAATCTAATTTTTCTCATAAGCCTTACAAAAAATTTAAAACATATATATATCATTAAAAAAATATCTTTAATACCTTTCAAACGACATCTTTTACATTAATACAGTAGTTTTTTATTTGTTCAAATAAAAAATACAAAAATTGATTTTTCGACCTTCAATAACACCAATAATTATTATTTCCAACTCAAACAAAAAAAATACCGTTATGATCAGGACTAAGACCTCTATCGATCCCAATATAAATTTTTCCAATCAGAGAAATGTACGTATTCTGCACTTATACCAGGCCTTTTATGAACAATATATTTTTATAAATAATATTTCTAAAATACAATTAATTAACTAAATTATTACAGTAAATAACTTTGATAAAGGATTCCTTAAACATACATATGTACACCCAATAAACACCAAAAAAATATTTCTCCAACCTTGGAGAAATTCATAGTTCTCAAGTTGATATCCGACATCATTCTCCAACTCATCACTAACCGACGCGCAGATACGTAAAGTTATAGAGAAACAAAATTTTTAATTAAACTGGGTTCACGCAGAGAAACTTTTGTTGCTCATGTTTGGCAACTTATCTTTTGGTGTTGACCTTCGCGTTCACACTGAACAATTCTTTTGTACACAATTGTTGTTGTCAGCTGTGAACGGCCAACTAGATCTACTCAGACGAACGGTAGCACAGAGCGTGTTGCCCGAGCACGAGCAACACAAGTAACGAGTTGCCCATGAGCGTCGCCAGCATTGAATTTAGGGGGGGATGACATATAAAAAGATCCCTCCAAAATTCTATTTTGAAATTTTAATGTAGTTGATTGATTAATCCTTATTAATACATATGTGTAAACTAAATGTTTCCATTTGAAAAGACAATCTTAACTAATAGCCAAATATAAATTTAGTTTAATAAGTAGAGTGGAGTACTAAACTTACATTTTATTGACTGGAAGAACAGGAAATCGACACCTGAGGGGAAACTCTACCTATTTCGGCAGCCAGTTCCAAAACGCCCAATTTCAGAAAACTTTTCAAGAACACCTTATTTCAGAATTTGGTTAAAAAACACTCTATCTCAGAATTTTATTGAAGAACGCCCTATCTCAGAATTCGCCCTATCTCAGCACAATTTCAATATACATATTTTTATTTGAGAAAAGGTATTCTGGGTAATTTTCAATAAAATTCTGATATGGGTCGTTCTTGAAAAGTTTTCTGAGTTAGGGCGTTTTCGAACTGGCTGCCGAGACAGGTCGAACTTCCACTCAGGTGTCGAAATATAGCAGGGTTCGGAAATATTCACTCACCTTCGTACGCGAACGCGAAGGTGAACGTATCAAATATTCTGTATTGATTCTCCTTCGCGAACGTGAAGCATAAAACCTGTCCAGATAGTTCGCGTTCGCGAATGTTAGGTAGAAAAAATTTCCGCTGTTGTTCGTACGCGTATGTATTGGTGGACCAAACAGCGTGCGTTCATATATGTAGCTATAAGTGGCAGCGAT